TTGTGTGAATTTAGGGGAGTTTTTTTTTTATTACCTTATTGCCCCCCCTTTCATGTCCTCTCTCCTTTGAAATGAGGTATGCGCGCATCTGTGGAAGTGTGGGGGCCTCTGTGGAAGTGTGGGGGCGTGTTCGTTCCCACGTGGCCGCGTCTATTAAAAAAAAACGATATTATCTATGTTGGCAGAATAATTCTTAAAAAAAAAATAATATGAAAAAAAAATAAAAAGGGGGTACATACACAACAAGCGCCACATTAAATACGCACTACAATGACAATAGTTTAAAGCGATTTGAAGCATGTTTTTTTGGGGGGGGGAGGCAGAGCTTTGTGACGTCTTATTTGAGGGGGGGTCTGACTTTTTGTGACACCGTGTGACGAGGGGGGGGGGGTCAAAAATCGTCCAAAATCGCGTGACGTCATTTATGGACGGCCCCTTTCACCAATATAGTGTGGGAGCCGCATCACACGCAGAGCCACACAACACACAGCAGCAGATGACAAACACACAATTGTGACAAACAAAATCGGTGATGGAATAAACTTCGTATATTTAGTCCCCCCACCCCTAGTTAATATTTAACAATACGGTGACTGTACTGTTCATTTTGTTGCCACCAAGACATTCCATAGTGACACCCCATTCTCTTCATGCAATTATTTTGAGACGTCATTTAAAATAACGTCTGGCAACAAGGGGGGTGGTCAAAGAGCCACGAGGGGAGTGGTCAAAGAGCCACGAGGTGAGTGGTCAAAGAGCCACGAGGGGAGTGGTCAAAGAGCCACGAGGTGAGTGGTCAAAGAGCCACGAGGTGAGTGGTCAAAGAGCCACGAGGGGAGTGGTCAAAGAGCCTCAAGGGGAGTGGTCAAAGAGCCACGAGGGGAGTGGTTAAAGAGCCACGAGGGGAGTGGTCAAAGAGCCACGAGGGGAGTGGTCAAAGAGCCTCGAGGGGAGTGGTCAAAGAGCCACGAGGTGAGTGGTCAAAGAGCCTCAAGGGGAGTGGTCAAAGAGCCTCGAGGGGAGTGGTCAAAGAGCCACGAGGGGAGTGGTCAAAGAGCCTCGAGGGGAGTGGTCAAAGAGCCACGAGGTGAGTGGTCAAAGAGCCACGAGGTGAGTGGTCAAAGAGCCACGAGGGGAGTGGTCAAAGAGCCACGAGGGGAGTGGTCAAAGAGCCTCAAGGGGAGTGGTCAAAGAGCCACGAGGGGAGTGGTTAAAGAGCCACGAGGGGAGTGGTCAAAGAGCCACGAGGGGAGTGGTCAAAGAGCCTCGAGGGGAGTGGTCAAAGAGCCACGAGGGGAGTGGTCAAAGAGCCTCAAGGGGAGTGGTCAAAGAGCCTCGAGGGGAGTGGTCAAAGAGCCACGAGGGGAGTGGTCAAAGAGCCTCGAGGGGAGTGGTCACAGAGCCACGAGGGGAGTGGTCAAAGAGCCTCGAGGTGAGTGGTCAAAGAGCCACGAGGGGAGTGGTCAAAGAGCCTCGAGGGGAGTGGTCAAAGAGCCGCGAGGTGAGTGGTCAAAGAGCCACGAGGGGAGTGGTCAAAGAGCCGCGAGGGGAGTGGTCACAGAGCCACGAGGGGAGTGGTCAAAGAGCCTCGAGGGGAGTGGTCAAAGAGCCTCGAGGGGAGTGGTTAAAGAGCCTCGAGGGGAGTGGTTAAAGAGCCTCGAGGGGAGTGGTTAAAGAGCCTCGAGGGGAGTGGTTAAAGAGCCACGAGGGGAGTGGTTAAAGAGCCACGAGGGGAGTGGTTAAAGAGCCACGAGGGGAGTGGTCAAAGAGCCTCGAGGGGAGTGGTCAAAGAGCCTCGAGGGGAGTGGTTAAAGAGCCTCGAGGGGAGTGGTTAAAGAGCCACGAGGGGAGTGGTCAAAGAGCCTCGAGGGGAGTGGTTAAAGAGCCACGAGGGGAGTGGTCAAAGAGCCTCGAGGGGAGTGGTCAAAGAGCCTCGAGGGGAGTGGTTAAAGAGCCTCGAGGGGAGTGGTTAAAGAGCCACGAGGGGAGTGGTCAAAGAGCCTCGAGGGGAGTGGTTAAAGAGCCTCGAGGGGAGTGGTTAAAGAGCCTCGAGGGGAGTGGTCAAAGAGCCACGAGGGGAGTGGTTAAAGAGCCTCGAGGGGAGTGGTTAAAGAGCCACGAGGGGAGTGGTCAAAGAGCCTCGAGGGGAGTGGTCAAAGAGCCTCGAGGGGAGTGGTTAAAGAGCCTCGAGGGGAGTGGTCAAAGAGCCTCGAGGGGAGTGGTTAAAGAGCCACGAGGGGAGTGGTCAAAGAGCCTCGAGGGGAGTGGTTAAAGAGCCACGAGGGGAGTGGTCAAAGAGCCTCGAGGGGAGTGGTCAAAGAGCCTCGAGGGGAGTGGTCAAAGAGCCTCGAGGGGAGTGGTCAAAGAGCCTCGAGGGGAGTGGTCAAAGAGCCTCGAGGGGAGTGGTCAAAGAGCCTCGAGGGGAGTGGTTAAAGAGCCTCGAGGGGAGTGGTTAAGAGCCTCGAGGGAAGTGGTCAAAGAGCCTCGAGGGGAGTGGTTAAAGAGCCTCGAGGGGAGTGGTTAAAGAGCCACGAGGGGAGTGGTCAAAGAGCCTCGAGGGGAGTGGTCAAAGAGCCTCGAGGGGAGTGGTTAAAGAGCCTCGAGGGGAGTGGTCAAAGAGCCTCGAGGGGAGTGGTCAAAGAGCCTTGAGGGGAGTGGTTAAAGAGCCTCGAGGGGAGTGGTTAAAGAGCCACGAGGGGAGTGGTCAAAGAGCCTCGAGGGGAGTGGTTAAAGAGCCACGAGGGGAGTGGTCAAAGAGCCTCGAGGGGAGTGGTCAAAGAGCCTCGAGGGGAGTGGTTAAAGAGCCTCGAGGGGAGTGGTTAAAGAGCCTCGAGGGGAGTGGTTAAAGAGCCTCGAGGGGAGTGGTTAAAGAGCCTCGAGGGGAGTGGTCAAAGAGCCTCGAGGGGAGTGGTCAAAGAGCCTCGAGGGGAGTGGTTAAAGAGCCTCGAGGGGAGTGGTTAAAGAGCCACGAGGGGAGTGGTCAAAGAGCCTCGAGGGGAGTGGTCAAAGAGCCTCGAGGGGAGTGGTTAAAGAGCCTCGAGGGGAGTGGTTAAAGAGCCTCGAGGGGAGTGGTCAAAGAGCCTCGAGGGGAGTGGTCAAAGAGCCTCGAGGGGAGTGGTCAAAGAGCCTCGAGGGGAGTGGTCAAAGAGCCTCGAGGGGAGTGGTTAAAGAGCCTCGAGGGGAGTGGTTAAAGAGCCACGAGGGGAGTGGTTAAAGAGCCTCGAGGGGAGTGGTCAAAGAGCCTCGAGGGGAGTGGTTAAAGAGCCTCGAGGGGAGTGGTCAAAGAGCCTCGAGGGGAGTGGTTAAAGAGCCTCGAGGGGAGTGGTTAAAGAGCCACGAGGGGAGTGGTCACAGAGCCACGAGGGGAGTGGCCAAAGAGCCACGAGGAGGGGGGGGGGGGGCAAAGAGCCGCTGGATGCTCCGGAGCCGCGGGTGGCCGACTCCTCGTGCCATGGACATTCACGTATCTCGTCACTTCCCCGCACAGCCCCAAGTCACGAGACGTGACAGCCACTGACTGCCACTGCGAGCAGTGCGCGTGCAGTGCGCGTGCGCGGTCGTCGTCGTCGTGGGTATTTTCCAGCTGTATAAATAGAAATCCCTGCCCGGGGTACATTGCTGCCAAATCGGTCTGCGGTCTGCGAGCCCCCAAGTTGCGTGAACGTCGGCGGTGGGAAATCCCCCACGGCTTGAACTGCCGAGAAACTGAACTCCTCCCGCTTGTCACACAGAGTTCCTCGTTACTGTGTGACACCGCACGTCCAGGCACGCACGTACGTACACTTCGTTTCGCGATCCACTGCTCGATGGAGTTGCCACCCCTTCCCCTCCCGCCGTAAGCATGCCAACGTTTGGGTTGTAAGGGTGGCATGCGATTGACCCCGTTGCATCAACGCCGGCCCCGACGTTCCATGTTTATTGGGGTGGCAGTGCTGGATGAAGCAAGTGCGGGGCCTGTAGCATGATGTTATCACATTTTTATTTTAACTTTAATATTAAAACACACATTTTTAACTTGCACCGTGCAATAATTGTATTTTTTCATTTGCTATACAGCCAGGTAATACGACAAATCGCTAACCTTAAACACCCAGTCGTTCATAAAAGTCAAAGGCAGTATAGTACTATAGTAATAGAGCAAGTGCAGAATCGCTGAACCGGAATCGATAGATTGAAAGCATTTAGCGCGGGGCGCCGTAGCATTTGCTACTTTTGCCACTCGGATAATCCGGCGCTGTGTGCATGGATGTTGAACTTCTTCAAGTGCGATGATCCAGCAGTGTGGGGGGGGTGGTTGATTTTCGGCACTGCGCTCAGCTGGCCGCGACGCAACAGCGGCAGGAGGCGTGGGCAGTGCGTGGTTTATAGGGTTGCAGACCGTATCGCCGAACCCCTTTAAAGTTTAATAAAACATCAGCGGTGTAACTGGTCTCAGCGTCACTGAACTTCTGAACTCGTCGGTTCGATTCGCTTCGATCTCCGGGCGCGGCAGCACGAATGGGTTCGCCACGGTTGAAGAGTCGGCCGATGTGGTGGGGTAGCATGTGGTGGGGTAGCATGTGGTGGGGTAGCATGTGGGTATGCTCCCTTAGCCATCCTGCTTCAGACGTCTGGGCCATGGTGGAAGAGTAGGCCAAAAATTACCACTTAGGATGTGGGGTGAGGGGGTCTCTATCGGACGCTCCCTTGAGTGGCAGCATTTTCCGCGAGCAGTGGCGTGAGCCCAGCAATTGCAGGGCTGCACCTTTATTTTGTTTACCCAAACAACCAACAACAACAAGAAGCGTTGATGGCCAAAGATAGAGAAATCTAGCGAACAGTGTAAGTTGGTGGCTTTCTTTGTTGAATTGCGACACGGGCTGTGGTACAAACAAACAAGGAAAAACCCAACAGATGAACAGGAAACAGACGTGTGTGTGTGGCCGGGTAAGTCGCCCTCTAAACCGGTTGGTGGAGTTTGTGGCTCGGAGCCGAAGCGATCAATCCAAAACCTCCCTCGGATGAGGAAGTTCCATCGTCGGTGACGCTTTCGGTTTGGAAGGCGAAGTGTCGCCAAAGTCCATCTGAACGGGTCCTTGGCAGTGTCACAAAGTCCATGATTGCGACACTAACTCAACCAGCAGTGTTCACGCACGCAACTGACCTCCCCCCCCCCCCCAGGGACCTAGAGTCGAACCTATGCCGACAGTGTATCTTCTCTCCCTTCAACTCGCAGACGTCGTCGCCTGCGTCGTGTGTAGAGAATAAGAAGAAGAGCTGCCGGCGATCGGTGAGTAAAGAGCAGAGGATGGATGGGAAGGAGACCCGCCGCGTTTGATGAAGGTCTCTTCGAGATTGGTCGGGCACGGGGCTTCTTCGTACGAGTAGATAACGCGGCGAGGTGCGTGTACCGTAAGCCGCAATAGATTGGACTTCACCGCATGTCATTAATATGGGCCGTTGCGCGAAACGTCGCCTGTAATGTGGTTGTACGTATGTACGCGTTTGAGCAGTGTTAATCGCAGGTGCCCTGAAGGTTCATACCACGTTTAGGGCAGTTTGTTAATGGACGTAGTGTTAAGTTGTTGTTTGTTAGCAAGGCAGTTTCACGCGCAACGAATGTTGTCACCAGTCGTGCGTGGAGCGGTGGCGCAGCGGTTAGCGCACGGCGCTACGTTGGATTCAGCCCGGCTTATTCGTGATTCCATTGCCGGGCACGGCACGCATCTGAACCGCTCCTGGACGTTAGCCCCGATGGCAGGGGTGGAGAACCTTTTTTTATAACATCATTCGCGGGCCATACAAAATTATCAACTTAAAAATTAGCCTGCTATATTTGGTCAAACATTTACGGTAATTAACTCACCCCTAATGCGATGGGCTGGAACTACTTCTCTTTGGCGAGGCGTGTGATGTTAGCTGGTGTTGATGATGTTGCTACTCGCAACTGCTTTTCCAAGTTTGCTCCGAGAATGTATTGAATTTCGAGTCCCGCCAACGTTTGCCTTGGCAGGGCCACACCAAATGATTGCGTGGGCCTCATACGGAGGATACGTGATTTGTGTGCAGTACACAAATACTCTCTCTGCAGTACACAAATACTCTGTGTGCAGTACACAAATACTCCGTGTGCAGTACACAAATACTCTGGTAACCGGCAGCGGGAATTGACACGATATTTTTGGCTCGGCTTTGTTGTTGAACCAAGGCCGTAGCCATGGAGTCAACATTGGGGGGGACCAAATCTTCCAGGGGGTCTGGGGGTCTCCCCCCCCCCCCCCCCCCCCCGCCAGAAAATAAATACATTTGAAAACTCATTTACTGCCTAAAATAAAAAAAAATCACTAACACATGGGATGGATTTTTTTTTACAATAATGTCTAATAGTGTATTGTATTACATCGCTCTGTATTTACCTGTTTACCTTTTCTTGTTTCATTGTATGTAATGGCAGAGATTAGGGATTAATAAAGTACAATCATAACCACAATCATTTCAACATACATCTACGCATTGATTTATATGAAGACAAGTCCAGATATTGTGGCCAAGGTTGAGCAAATTGTTATAGCATAGCAAAACATTTTTAATAGCAATATATTGGGGGGGGGGGGGGCATTGTGAGCTTATTTGAATATTGGGGGGGGATGTGTGTCCCCTAATATATATTGTTATTACGGCCTTCTTTTGAACATCTTTCGCACCCTGTACGTAGCCAACCGTGCTAATCGAAGGCTTTGGCGTCACACTCACTCCACGGGAGGCGAATTACTCGGTCCACCGTTGAAACGTGGCTTGCTTGCTTGTCATCAGTTGTTGGCGCGAGACTTGTAGCAATGTGGACCTTCAGGCAAAGCCAGGGGTCCAAGTTTTATGATGTTTCTCCCGCCCGATGTGTCTGTATTACCATGATGTTGGCGTTGATGACGCTGATTGTGGTGTTAACATTGATGACGCTGATTGTGATGTTGACATTGATGACGCTGATTGTGATGTTGACATTGATGACACTGATCGTGGTGTTGACATTGATGACACTGATCGTGGTGTTGACATTGATGACGCTGATCGTGGTGTTGACATTGATGACACTGATCGTGGTGTTCACATTGATGACACTGATCGTGGTGTTGACATTGATGACACTGATCGTGGTGTTGACATTGATGACGCTGATCGTGGTGTTGACATTGATGACGCTGATCGTGGTGTTGACATTGATGACGCTGATCGTGGTGTTGACATTGATGATGCTGATTGGGGTGTTGACATTGATGACACTGATCGTGATGTTGACATTGATGACACTGATCGTGGTGTTGACATTGATGACACTGATCGTGGTGTTGACATTGATGACGCTGATCGTGGTGTTGACATTGATGACACTGATCGTGGTGTTGACATTGATGACACTGATCGTGGTGTTGACATTGATGACGCTGATCGTGGTGTTGACATTGATGATGCTGATCGTGGTGTTGACATTGATGATGCTGATCGTGGTGTTGACATTGATGACACTGATCGTGGTGTTGACATTGATGACACTGATCGTGGTGTTGACATTGATGACACTGATCGTGGTGTTGACATTTATGACACTGATCGTGGTGTTGACATTGATGACACTGATCGTGGTGTTGACATTGATGATGCTGATTGGGGTGTTGACATTGATGACACTGATCGTGGTGTTGACATTGATGACACTGATCGTGGTGTTGACATTGATGACACTGATCGTGGTGTTGACATTGATGACGCTGATCGTTGTGTTGACATTGATGACGCTGATTGTGGTGTTGACATTGATGACGCTGATTGTGATGTTGACATTAATGACACTGATTGTGGTGTTGACATTGATGACGCTGATCGTGATGTTGACATTGATGACACTGATCGTGGTGTTGACATTGATGACGCTGATCGTGGTGTTGACATTGATGACGCTGATTGTGATGTGGACATTGATGACGCTGATCGTGATGTTGGCATTGATGACACTGATCGTTGTGTTGACATTGATGATGCTGATTGTGATGTTGACATTGATGATGCTGATCGTTGTGTTGACATTGATGACACTGATCGTGGTGTTGGCGTTGATGACACTGATCGTGGTGTTGACATTGATGACACTGATCGTGGTGTTGACATTGATGACACTGATCGTGGTGTTCACATTGATGACACTGATCGTTTTGTTGACATTGATGACACTGATCGTGGTGTTGACATTGATGACGCTGATCGTGGTGTTCACATTGATGACACTGATCGTGGTGTTGACATTGATGACGCTGATCATGGACGGGGGCGATATTTACCAGATAAAATACATAAATATGTTTCTTTCTGTTCATGTAACACCTATTTCTGTCATTTAGTGTTCTCATTTATTCTGTAATCTTATGATTATTCACTGTCTCATCTTCTTGCATCCTTTTCTTTATGTGTTTGTATTACTTAACGAGTGTTTTTACAAGATTTGTCTGTGTTAATGTTTTGCTTTATCTCAACTTTGTGTGATGTGTCCTTGAACCTTGTGGTAGGAAAGGCACTCTATGAATACATATTATCTATTCTGATGATCTTTTTTTCAAAGCTTTAAATTTCTGGATCACCTCCCCATGGACAGTTTCTTGAGCCACTCCTGGGGAGATCGAGATGTTAACAATAATTGGGACCATGATGGTGCTCATGAAAGATCATGATTACAGTGATCTTAAAGATAGCGACCTTGTCTATAACCACCTAGCATATCACCAGCATTGATTGAAGCAAAGCTTGACTCTGCTGATGAGACCGTGTGTGTCAATAACTTGGTCCAGAGCTTTGCTCGTCTTGAATCAATACTGCTGAAATTACATCAGTCTCAGAAGACATTGCAGCCGATGGGTTACACAAACAATAATAATAATGATACCAACTTGGGACTTTGTCTGCTTATAAGCCAACAAAAAAGAAAAAAAAATTCCGGCCTGGACTTTTGCAGATTTTCTCTATCACATCTCATTTTTATGCTATCGGCATACCACATTTTCATTGATTTTACCCGAAATTAACTCTGTCACTTATGATTGCAAGTTGTTGCGAGTCAGTGACTGCTTTAGTGTTAAAATATGGTGCTGTATTTTTAGGATAGTGTTTATAATATAATTTTATGTAGATATCCACATTTATTTTATATTTTTCTTCTGCAGTTTTTATTGAAAATGCAATATTTGATATCTAAAAAACCTGACGTGATAGACAAAAACTGATGCCACATTTAGAATCAGCACCCCGAAATTACCTTAAAACCGTTGGAATACCTTATGCCAGAAAAAGTGTGTTGACCAGTGTTATCCTTGGTATTTACATTCTCTGCAATGATGCAAACGTATAATTTCGAGTTTACGATAACATCGACGGCGATCGTCCACATCTCCCCAGCAGTGTGCTTGAGAGGTGCGCGGAGCTCCGGCGAGGATGCAGCTCTCCCAGAACTACACGTGGTTGCTGACGGACGTCCTGGGACGAGGCTCCACGGGATGCGTTTACCATGGGCGCCATCGCGTACGCACGCACGCCCCCACCAACGCCCCCCACTAACTAGAAACTACACAAACCAGTAAACTACTTGTTATTTCACAATTGGAACCTCATTTGCCAGTCAAAAATATGATAATTGGTTTTTTACCCTTCTATCTGGCAAGAAAACTGACACCTTTTTTTACGAGGAGTCATGTTTGCATAGACCACAATACCTGCAGTCATAATGCAAAAAAAAACATAACTCTGATAATATATGCACTGTCCTTGAAGTTGATTGGTCCACACCCGAGACAGCTTTCCTTAGAGCCTAGTCTCACATGGGTTGGACCAGATGACGCCAGGTACTCAGGCCCACTGAGTTATGAGCTTCTTTTTCAGAAGCGAACTGGCCACAAGTGATAGCTCAACGAAGTGGCTTATCTATTCATAATCAACGTTTTTGGGGTTTAGATCGCGTTATTTATAAATGTGTCGTAACCCTCCACCACCCGACACGGCCAATCAGTAAAAATGTGTCACGTTGACAAAGACAAATAGTTCACTGCTTTAGCCCACCGGTGTGTTGAAGCCACAACATTTACAATTTTTACTGATTGGCCGTGTCGGGTGGTGGAGGGTTACGACACATTTATAAATAACGCGATCTAAACCCAAAAACGTTGATTATGAATAACATTGGTCGCGAAAGCCTCCGTGTTAAACTGGCTTATCTATGTATGTTGAACTTCTTTCGCACCGTACGTAGCCAGACGTGCTAATCTAAGGTGCTAATTAACATGTTGAAATGTATAGCCACCAAATACTGTAAACGTGTGATGTTGATTCTAAATGTGGAGGGGAAAACCAGAGGACCCAGAGAAAAATCCACACGAGCATGGGGAAGAGACATACAAACTCCAAATATACAGCAGCAGGCGTCAGGGTCAGGATCGAACCCACGACCTCCTGTATAGCAGGCGAGGTAGTTAACATACCGCCACTGTGGCGCCCCAAAAAAGAAAAACGCCGAACCAATGTCTGCCCCTTATCACCGTGCGTGACTGTGCGATCGTCATATTAACATCGCGCAGTGCCAGTTTTCAGTTGGAACAGCCATAAAAGCTGCTCTGAAAATGTATTTAGGCCACGTCGCATACATTATACCTAACTTTGTCCTCAGCCTGTTTCAGAGGATCATAAGAATATAGGCAGGTACAAATGTATACGGTGATTATTGTGAATAGGCTTATTTAGTACTTCACTGGAAGTGCTTACACCGACGACAACCCCTACTCTCAAGCCGGCGTGGCAGCATTACAGAGTGGGAAATTTGGCCCCGATCTCAGGGCGCTGTGTTGGCTTGCGTCTGACAAGGACGCTCGTCAGAGGCACGTTTCCGGCGGTGGAAACCTTTTGCCTTTTCGCTGCAGACGACGGGAGCGCCCTCGGCCATCAAGGTGCTGAGCGTGGACGGGATGCGGCGCCCCCCGGAGCTGCAGGAGCGGGAGAGCCGGGTCCTGGCCGAGCTGGACCACCCCAACATCGTTCGTCTCCTCGCCGTCGAAGAGGAGGTGGGTAGCGGTGAAGCTGCGAGTGTTCGGGCTGCTGCTGTACATTTCCACGTGGTGATGATGATGATGGTGATATCGGCCACGTCGTTGCGATATCATTTGCGATGGCCGGGTCACTTCTGAAAAGAGCTGTATAGCTCAGTGGGGCATTGACCTGGTACCAGCAGTGGCGCTCGGGGGAGGCCTTCGTCATCCAGCAGTGAATCAATCATGGCTGATGGTCAGGCGCAGTGGTGGTGTTGGCCCGCTATGGGGGCGAGATGTTAACTACCTCGCCTGGATTGCAGGAGGTCGTGCGTTCGATCCAGACCCTGACGCCTGTATATTTGGAGTTTGCATGTTCTCCCCGTGGTCGCGTGGATTTTTCTCCGGATCCTCTTGTTTTTCCCTCCGCATTTAGAATCAACATCATGCGTTAAGAGTATTTGGCTGCTATTAATTTCCACATGATGATAAGCCACTTCGTTGAGCTATCATTTGTGGCCAGGTTGCTTTTGAAAAATAGCTCTATAGCTCAGTGAGGCCTTACCCAGTAAAATAAAAATAGTGGAGTAATAGTTTATATACTCTTTGGTTCTTTCGGTAAAGTCACGGAGGTAGAAATAAAATAAATAAAATCACGACGTTTCGGGCACAACACAAGCGTCCATCATTAGGTGGGACAACCACAGCAAGAAACAATTTTGCTGAAGTGGGCAAAAGGGGCTGCTGTAACAAGAGGATATATAGGTAAGAGAGGGGGAGAGGGGGAGGGGCAAGGGGGGAGAGATAGAGAGGAGGGGGGGCACCTGATCAGGGATGCTTGTGTTGCGCCCGAAACGTCGTGATTTATTTTTTCTACCTACGCGGCTTTACCGAAAGAACCAAAGAGTATGGATTCCTGCAGTGACGAAAGCTTCAAATGAAAATTTACGAGTTTATAGTTTTTTCTTGTTCGCTTACGCCTTGCGCCGCGGTGGTGAACAACACCGGCTGGCGATGTCTCCTCAGAGCGTGACGCGGCACCGTGTGGTCGTGATGGAGGTGTGCTCCGGTGGGAGCCTCCACTCCATCCTCAACGAGCCCGAGAACGCCTACGGGCTGTCCGAGGACGACTTCCTGCAGGTGCTCAGTGACGTCGGTGAGTCGCTGCCCACTTGCTTTCCAACTACGGGGCAAGGATTTTCACTGAGCGCTCAAATGCCCTGATAAAAGACAAAGATCCCCCGTGTAGCCTTAACAGACTGTTGGGGCAAGTGCTCTTAGCGAGCGGGGCCTATGAAGGGCGGCACAGCACGGCAGACAAGGGAGTGGGTGGCCACCACCACGCCCTGCCACCTTTGTATCCCCCAGCGGCGATGTTATACACACCGCACCAGGTACTCACACATGCACACGGACAAGCACGTTCTCCCTCCCGTGTTATTACGAGGTCAGCCGTGCGGCAGCCAGCGGGGCTGGCGATGGGAACACGTTACTGGGGGATAACCCATCGATGCCCCATCCCTACCACGCAAGACGTGAACCCTACCGACTCAGAGACCCCGACTGAGACTCGGCGACTCCCGATAGTGGACCTGTTCCGTCGATTATCTCCGCTGACGCCGGTGCCGCCGGTGCCGCCGCAGTGGCGGGGATGAACCACCTCCGCGAGAAGGGCATCGTCCACCGAGACCTGAAGCCCGGCAACATCATGCGAGCGTTCCGCGCCGACGGCAAGGCCACCTACAAGCTCACCGACTTCGACACGGCGCGCTGGCTGGAGGACGGCGAGCAGTTCGTGTCGCTGTGCGGCACGGAGGAGTATCTGGTGAGCGGCGTCACATGCAGTGCGGGGGGGGGGGGGGGGGAGGGAGGGGCGATCTGCCGTCCCACCCCAGCAGAGATCGGAGCCTCGATGCTCATTCAAGTAGCCATCTTTTTTTTTGTCATATATCTGGTTGGTCTATCTGCCTTTATCATTCTGTCTTCATCAGACCTCCCGTGTAGCCTGCAGTCTTCTGTCTGTCTAAAGACCTAGCAAGTTGGCACTGTGTGGAGCGCAGTTGGGGCATGGGCCGGTCGTCTCAGTCGGTCAACCCACGGCACCTGGGTCTGTTCCATGACCTCCTGCCACTTCACGTGGCTTCAAAGTGCATCTGCCCTGGCCTGGGTGACGCCACTGCCACTTAGTGGCAAACGGCGGTTGTAGTTGTTGTTGTTGCTCACCCGAGCAAACCGCTAGGGTGAGCAACGGTGGGTATAAGTGTAAACTCGACACCGACATCCTTCCTTGGCGCTCGTTCTATCAGTACGACCTGGACCCCAGGAATCGACGGTGATCAGTCGCTGATGTCGACCCGACACTACGGCTCTGACATCACCTGCTGATGATGATGATCGTGATGGTGATGTGAACGATCCTCGCTCCCCCCCTCGCAGCACCCGGACATGTACGCACGCGCCGTGCTGCGGACGTCACAGCCGCGCGCGTACCACGCCACCGTGGACCTGTGGAGCATCGGCGTGACGATCTACCACGTGGCCACGGGCTGCCTGCCGTTCCGCCCGCACGCCGGCCCGCGGCGCGACCAGAAGCTCATGTAAGCGGCGAGCGCGCAGTGGGGGACGTAGCGCGTGTGCGTGTGTACGTGTGTACATGTGTGTACGTGTGTACGTGTGTTTACGTGTACACTAGGGAGACAAAGGCGGCCAGGCGTGATATTGGCCACCCACCCCCTCATGTGCAGTGCCGGCCTTCATAGCTGATCGCTAACAGCACTTACGCCAACAGTCTGTTAAGGCTATACCTTTGTCTTTTGTGTGTGTGCACCTGTGTGGGGAGCGGTAGTGTAGCGGTTAGCGCTGCGCTATGTGCCCGGCGACCCGAGTTCGATTCCCACTCGTGGACGGAACCAGTGACGATTATCTGAACTGGTCCTGGGCCTCCCCTAGGTTGACTCGACCTCAAATGAGTACCTGGTGCGGTGTGTAAACATCAGGACGAAGTAGACGAAGGCGGCCGGGCGTGGTGCTGGCCACCCACCCCCTCGTGTGACGTGCCGGCCTCCATAGGTGTTCGCTAACAGCACTTGCCCAAACAGTCTGTTAAAGATTATGCGAGGGGCCTTTTTCATTTGCGTGTGTGCGTGTGCCTGAACATGTCTGTGTGTTCAGGCATCAGATCACGACAAGGAAGCCGAAGGGCGCCATCTCGGGCGTGCAGGAGCAAGCGAACGAGAAGATCACGTGGAGCGACACGCTGCCCTCCTCCTGCCTGCTCTCCGAGTGAGCGGCATCATCATCATCATTGTCATCATCATCGTCATCATTGTCATCATCATCATCATGATCGTTGTCATCATCATGATCATTGTCATTATCATGATCATTGTCATCGTCGTCATCGTTGTCATCGTCGTCATCGTTGTCATCATTCTCATCGTCATCGGCTGCAGCATCATTGGCATCATCATGGCCGTTGTCATCACCGCTACCATCATCATTATCATCCTCATTTGCTTCATCTAACGTAATCATCATTATTATGGTATCCATCATCATAATCATCATCAAAATCTGCTGCTGGATCAACACTTTTTACATGCCCTGCAAATAGCGTTCACCACACATTCACGACAAGAGGAATTTAGTCAGATTTAGTTTTTTTTTTATTAGCACAGTCATTGTTTTAGCAACAGGTTGAGAACTCCACCTCGCTACACTTAAAAACCCAGTTTAAAAACTCAGTCTGTGAGTCTTTGGGCCTTCATGTGAGTCTATGAGTCTCTATGTAAGTTTATGGGCCTCTATGTGAGTCTATGGGCCTCTGTGAGTCTATGCGTCTCTATATACTGGCGACTGGACTGAGACAATCAACTCACCGCTTGAGTAACTCGGACTCGTCAGGGTCGCGTGGCTGAACCCAGGAATGGAGCGCAGGGTCTCAGCGGTGCTCACTCAATGTCTCGCTGAGCCACTAGGCCACCTCGACGATCGATGGCGATGGTGACCATGGCGGCAGGGTGGTGGCGCAGTGAGCCGCCTCGCAGCGAGAATGGCCTCTATTCGATTCCTGACTCGGGCGCATTAATGAAATATATCTAACAATGTTGGGGGTGACCAGACCCCCCCACGAGCCCCAGGAAACCCATGGTGGCTGTGCCCCTGCCCCACGCGATCGCGGAGCCGCTGCGTCGTTGATAACGCTCGGTGATCACCGCCTCTTTCATCTCCTTCCTTCCTCTTGCCCCACTCCCCCTGCAACCTCCACCACGACCGCCACCACCACCACTGCCTCCACCGCCACCACCACTACGACCACCACTAACACCGCCACCACCACTACTACCGCCTCTAAAACTGGCACTACGGCCACCACCACCACCGCTGCCAACACTGCCGCCACCACCGCTACCACCACCACTACCACCACCACTACCACCACCAACATCTCCACCACCGCCACCAACACCGCCACCAACACCACCACCACCACCAACATCTCCACCACCGCCACCAACACCGCCGCCACCACTGCCACCACCACCGCCACCAACACTGCCGCCACCACTGCCACCACCACTGCTTCCACCATCATCGCCACCGCCACCATCATCGCCACCACTTCCCCAGGTGCTTGAAGGCTCTGCTGGTGCCGATCCTGGCCAGCGTTCTTGAGGCCGACCCGGGGCAGTGCTGGAGTTTTGATCAGTTCTTTGCGGCGACCAAGGACCTGCTGCAGCGAGAGCTCCTCCACGTATACAGCCTGCCGCAGCACACGCTGCACCGCGTGTACTACCACGCCCACGACACGTACGTGCTCACTCGCACTCACTCACTTACTCACTCACTTACTGATGCATGCACACACACACACGCTGCACCGCGTGTACTGCCACGCCCACGACACGTACGTGCTCACTCGCACTCACTCGCACTCACTCACTTACTCGCACTCCCACTCACACACTTACTCATGCATGCACACACTCACACGCTGCACCGCGTGTACTGCCACGCCCACGACACGTACGTGCTCACTCGCACTCACTCGCACTCACTCACTTACTCGCACTCTCACTCACACACTTACTGATGCATGCACACACACACACGCTGCACCGCGTGTACTGCCACGCCCACGACACGTACGTGCTCACTCGCACTCACTCACTTACTCACTCACTTACTCGCACTCTCACTCACACACTTACTGATGCATGCACACACTCACTCACACTTACTCACGTACACTCACTCACACACTTACTCATGCATGCACACACTCACACACTCACCCACACTTACTCGCGCACACTCACGCACACACACTCACACACTCACTTATGCATGTGGGCCTTAATAAACATCCCCCCGTGTAGCCTGTAACAGACTGTTGGGGCGAGTGCTGTTAGCGAGCACCTACGAAGGCCGGCACGGCACACTAGGGGGTGGGTGTCCACCACCACGCCCGACCACCGCACCAGGTACTCATTTGAGGCTGGTTCAGATAATTTCCACGGGTATTGGCTGTGAGTGGGAATCGAACTTGGGTCGCTGGATTCGTAGCGTAGCGCAGCGCACTAACCGCTACACTACTGCTCCCCACACACTCACTCACACACTCACACAAAAAAATCAAAACCTCCCGTGTAGCCTTAACAGACTGTGCTGTTCGTGAGAACATGTGAAGAATACGCAATGTATGTGAATATGAGACAGTGGGCCTTAATAAATGACATCACGAAGCGGTCGTTAAAGAGCCGCATGTGGGTCCGGAGCCGCGGGGCACTGACCCCTGCCCTAGGACCAGGGCCAGGGGAGGTGACAGGGCAGACCTGGAAAGAGGCGACACTGGCACTGCCACCACCACCCTCTTCCACCACCGAGCCGCACTCCCCCCAACCTCTACGCCGGTCGGTGCGGATTGGTGAAGGGGAGGCCCAGAGCCCGTTCGGGTGTCGCTCGCCACTGACGTCAGCCATGAGCGGGATTCCAACTCGGGTCGCCGGTTTGGGGAACGGCGCCCAACGGGGCCAGCGCGGCGGCGATGATAAACGCACCGGCGAACGGATTAGTAACGTGGCCGTCGGGTGCACCGCGTCTGGCACCTGCGATTCCCTCCCCCCTCCCCCACCGCCCGCCCCCACGCAGGTGGGCCCAGCTGCAGGAGCTCCTCTCGGGCCTCACGGGGGTGACCCCTGACCTCCAGCTGTTCTTCAACGAGGGGCGTCCACTGGCGGCGACGGCGGCGGGGGCGGCGGCGGCTGCCAGGGGCCACCTCCCGGCCACGACCCCGCACGACCCCGTGGTGCTCGCGTCCGCGGGGACTGGGCAAGCGCAGGCCGCCGCTCCCCGGCAGATCGGTGAACGGCGTGAGAATGCGGGACGTCGTGACGATCGCGGGGGGTTCTTGGTGGGGTGTGGAAGAGGAATCTGCGTTTACACCGGGGGGAAATCCGACGGGCCGCGAAGATCTTTTTTTTTCACCGGTGTGGGAAATAATAAGTTCATTCAGACGCTGTCTTCCCGACAGACCTGTTTTTTACCTGAGGACGGCTGCTTGCGTTGTGGCCGAAACGTCGTGAGAATTATTTTATTATGTTTTATTTTTATTATTTTATTATTTCCCTTCTACGTGACTTTACCGAAAGAACCAAGAAGATGAATCCCTGCAGTCACGAAAGCTTTAAATCGAAATTTATTTGTCTTTTGTCAACGTGACACTTTTTTTACTGATTGGCCGTGTCGGGTGGTGGAGGGTTACGACACATTTATAAATAACGCAATCTAACCCAAGAAACCTTTATTATGAATGGTTATTATTATTATTATCGCTGTGGCTACCACGGGGTACAGTAACAGTCAGCGCACTGGACAATCCCGGGGTCGCCAGTTCGATTCCGTCATCTCGGAGATTGCAACGACGGTGCAGCTTGTTCCTAAATCTGCCTGCCGGCATTTTGTTCCACCCAGCCATAGCAACAACAAAAACAATGAGGTATGCCATGTACGGTGGGGGAAAGCGGGGGTTACTCCCAACTCTTTGTTCTTTCGGTAAAGTCACATTTGCCTTCTATGCTTGGCTCCGCCCCCCTCTCCTCACCTATATAATCCCCTGATTATTGTAGCTCTTGACGGACGCTTGTGTTGCATCTGAAACGTCGTGATTTTTTTTTTCTTTTATTTTCTTTACCTACGTGACTTTACCGAAAGAACCAAGAGTATGGATTCTTGCAGTCACGAAAACTTCAAATCTAGAATTACTCCCAACTGTTCCAAGGAAATTGTTGGCCAGCGCGGAAGGATAGGCCACAGTACACCCCTGGAGGTGCTTTTTCCCTCTCTCTAGAACAGGGGTGGGGAACGTCCAGCCCGCGGGCCGTATGAGGCCCGCAAAATAATTTGATGTGGCCCTGCCAAGGCAACCGCAGGCGGGACTCGATATTCAATAAATCTCGGAGCAAACCTGAAAGAGCAGTTGTGAGTAGCAACATCATCAATACCAGCTAGCATCACACGCCTCGCCAAAGAGAAGCAGTTCCAGCCATCGCATTAGGGGTGAGTTGATTAAATGTTTGACCAAATATAACAGGCTAATTTTTAAGTTGATAATTTTGTATGGCCCGCGAATGATGTTATAAATATCTAAATGGCCCTTGGCAGAAAAAAGGTTCCCCACCCCTCTTCTAGAGTTTCGATCAAGCGGAGGCCCCCTTCCGCTAGCAGTGGCATGAGCAGGCAATTGCAGGGCTGCGTCGTTTTGCTTTGCCCTGCTCTGCTCGTTTATAAAAAAAAAATCCACGCCCCGTCAGCATCTCATCACGACGACGTCGTCGTCGGCAGAGAGTAGCGTGGCGTAACCCATCATTGTGTTTGTGCTACGTTCCAACGTGTACGCTCCCCGCCTTCACCACCGACCAGCGCTGACCAGCAGTGGTGAAGTATGGTCAAGTAGCCCTCACGACCGACACGGCATTGGGGAGGCCGTCATCCAGCGGGTGGCTTGATAAAAGGGGCACGAGAAAAAAAGAGGCATTTCCAGTCGCAAAAATGCATCACCCCCATGTTAGACAACGGGCCTCTGGAAGTTAACGTCACAGAACTACTTCGGAGGTCCCGTTCAGTTGCCCCTTACCCACACCTTCTCACGTGCCCTGCCGCTGCAGAGGTGTTCGCCGCATGGCACTCGTGCCGAAACTTTTTTTGTTGTAGCTTGACACGTAGGAGGCTTTCGCAGACAACGCCGTGAGTTGTGATTGATTTTTCGGGTTAGGCCGCAAGTAATGAGCCCTCCATCACTCGACGCAGCCGAAGCAATCGAACCGTCACGTGTAACGAGCCTTTTAACAACCGCGCCGATCGCTACCGTGTCGGCTAACGCCGCTAAATAGAAAGAAAACTCCGGTCATCTTCGCAGAAGCAGGCTTTTGGCTGGCCGTCGAACAAAGACGGTCACCACATCGCGCGCTTTCAGATGCGCTTCTGTGGCCGTCTGGAACGTTCTTTCCTTCTGATACTAGGAAGCCACTGGAATTATGTGCTTTTAAATCGTCTAGATTGAAAACTCATTTCTTTAGAACTACTTTTTGTGTTTAGTTTATGGTCCTTTCTCCGCACCTCCGATTAGCATGGTTGGCTACGTACGATGCAAAAGAAGGTCAACATGCATACAAGTAAAATCTCATAAACCAGATTTGGCAAAAATATATAATTTAAAAACACCTGAGACTGGGAAAACCCGAGGTGCACTTCGTTGCCTCCTGAACCCAGAACCAGTGAGCTGCCACCAGCGCCTCCTCACCGTCGGAAGTTTTGTGCCGTCTTCTATCCCCGCAGAGCTCCACATCCCCACTTTCAGCCGCAACACGGACATGCTGCAGGACGTCCACACGGCACAGGTACGCGTGGCGGACTGCCGTGATTCAGACCTCCATCCAGGAGTGGATAGACCCTGGCTAGAGGTGATGTCCGTTATGGTGGAGGCTTTGGCGAGGCCTTAATCCAGCAGTGGGTAGACCCTGGCTGGAGACGATGGTGGTGGGCGTGGTGGCTCAAGACGCAACATCCCCCTGCACTCAACGCTCGCGCGACAGACGACAAAACGCGCGGTTTGTGCACGTGTGTCTTTTTTTCCTCCCTTTCCTCCCCGCAGGACGCGGCGAGCGCCGCGATCCAGATCCACCGCCTCTCCGACCGCAGTTGCGCAGGAGCAGGTGGTCGCGCGCAGGGCAGCGTCGTGGATCCGGTGAGCCCCCGCGGCCGGCCGACCGCCCGTGCAGCAACGACCTCCCAGGGTTCATCGGCACGCACACACACAAGCCAGCCAGCTAGCCAGCCAACCAATCAATCAACCAATCTTTATCTGACGTGCCGATATCGCCCTCGACAAATGTGGGCATTGGCGCGCATTTGCGGCGGGAACACGAACGGTGCAGGGGGCACGGAGCACCGAGGAGGTGGGCATAATATTAATTTGAACCCCCCCCGCCCACCTCCTACGCATTTTCCATATGCTAAATTCCTCTTGATATGCAAATTATTTTGTCAAGGCGCTCTTCTTCCCACCTCCCCCCCTCCAACCCAGCTTAAATATACGCTCCAAGCTTGGTGGTGTTTCATTCTTCACCTGAGGACGGCTGCTTGCATTGTGGCCGAAACGTCGTGAGAATTATTTTATTACTTCCCTTCTACTGTGACTTTACCGAAAGAACCAAGTAAAAAAAAGAGAAAATAATACATTTAAAAATACCATACGACGTTTCGAATGCAACACAAGCAATCATCATCAGGTATAAATGAAATAGAAAACAAACCTAGTATACTTTGATATATAATGCAATACAACACAGAGAGTCGGCTAACATAACAGTCAACACCCTACCTGGTCGATTACGTTCTTCCAGAGAATGCTAAATTTGAGAGATAAAACACAGAACCAGAGACATATAGACAGACATTAAGCAGAGAGATAACACAGAAACACATAGAGAGACACATACAAATGTTTAGATTACCTTTATTTTCTGCGTGGAGAGCAGGTTTTGCAGGAGACATCGCTTATCTATTTTGTTATTTATATTCTCCACAATATCGCGTGCGATTATTTGTTGTTAAATATTAATTAAACTTTCGTACGATTATATTGTGCAAGGCTCTCATGGACCTGCCCTGTAGAATCCCATCCATGTTGATAAAAAAAAGTGTGTTCTGTAATGGGGGATTCACGATAACGCTCATGACGACGATCCAATATGAACTAAAACTTTTGTATAAAAACCTCATTGCTTTCAGAGACGCAACCCTATGGAAACCCCATAGAAACCCCATAGAAACTCCATAGAAACCCATTAATCAAACTGTGTCCGAAACTTGGGAGACCCAAGCCAGGCATTAAAGGACACTTTCTCGATGTGCAAACGCATCACGCGCCCTGCAAATCAGCTGTCCTACAGCTTCTTCACCGCTGATTAAACAGACACGGGGCGGAAAGGGTTACAAAATTCATGCGGAACCGCGCTCCATCCTGACCAGCTGTAGCTTAATGCCGGCGTTTCCATCTTCTTCTTCCGTACGGCTGCTCATGTAGATGCAGAGCAACATCTAAAAGTTCACATTCAGCTGGTCAAGCCCCAGATAACCGCGTCGACACCAGCAGTGTATCATCGCTGCGATGTCTCCTTCGTATTTGTGGATCGGGCATTGCGTCGTTAGATGTTACCTGGTCTGTTGTGGATGACCACAGTCGCACACTACTGGAGAGCATTTAATTTTCCATTTGTGCATCAGGTATCCGCACCTACCGTGGTTTTGTGCAGTGGATGCGATTTAGGATGGCCCATGGAATGCTCGTGGAAGATCAAACCCAGGCATCTTCTGCGTTTCACGAAGTTTCCATGCGAAGAATTCACACTTTTTTCCGTCTCGACAAACTCTCCCGACCGTTCACGGGGGGGACTCTCTCTCTCGTCGTTAAAGAGTTGCTTTTCAAACGTCTCGAGACGCTGCCCTTTCCCACCGCGATCTTTCAGCTCCAAGTTCGAGGACGAAACGAGGACGGCGCTGCAGCGGCTGGCCGAGGTGAAGGTGAGACGCGACGCCGCTGGGGACTTGCTGCACAAGACCCGCAGGCTGTGAGTCTCGTCCCGCGATCTCTTCACCCGGGGTAGGGCCTATGGAAGTGGGGGTTTGGGGGGGTGGGTGGGGTGTGGGGGGCGGGTTGGGGGGAAGGGGGGACGGGGGGGGAAGTTCTCTTGTATCGCATTTGGAAAAAAAGGAACAGCAGGCTACCGTATTTTTCATTTTGTTTTTAGCCATTCCAAGGGGGCATCCAAGTTGGTAGCTGAGTGGAGTAGTTCCCTTGTTCCACCAGAACACCGCGTGGTTGGTTGTACTGGGGTAGCTGAGTGGAGGAGTCTGCTTGTTCAACCAGAACACCACGTGGTTGTAGTTGGGTAGCTGAGTAAAGTAGTTCGCTTGTTCCACCAGAACAACACGCGGTTGTAGTGGGGTAGCTGAGTGGAGCAGTCTGCTTGTTCGTCCACGTGTTGTTGTGGTGACACGGGTGTTGTTGTTGTTGTGACACGGGTGTTGTTGTTGTTGTTGTGGGAACACGGGTGAGAGCAGTCCCCACTGTCGTCGAGGTCGCAGAGAGAACCCCGGGGGGGGGGGGGGGGGGGGGATGAAGGGTGTTAAAAAGAGGATACAGAAAACTGAAACGGTGAAAACGTAAACTGTGACGGCGAAACAATTTGAGAAGTCAAAATCCACCACAACAGCCGCAGCAGCAGCAGCTTGAAACTTAGACACAGCCGTACGGTCAGCTGTCGAACAGTGAACACAAATAGACAGTGGGCATCGTGCAAGCGGCGATAGGATCTGCAGCACAGGAGGACCTGGCTGCATCACCATCACCCCGCCGACATCATTTCTGCTCCCAGAAATAAATAATGTGCAATGAAAAAAGTATATCCACTCGTGGATGAAGGCCTCCCCCCGAAGCTGAAACCACCATAACGCGGAGCTCAAACGCGTCTCCTTTTAAAGTGTTTGTGAATTTTGCTTGACATTTTATTTCATCTCCAGGTGCACACTTGCGACGAGGCAGGAGCAGCTCACGTCCGCTCCGTGCGGCGTCACAGAGGTTGAAGCGGCCGTCCGCTCGGTGAGTGGAGCAGCAGCGGCGGCCGCGACGGCGGCGGTGGCAGCGGCGGGGACAGCGGCGGGGACGAGTCGTCACAGCGCCTGAAACGCAAACCGCGCCCTTGAGACGTGAACGTCGTGTGGAAAGGATGACGGCGATTTAACCCTTTCCTGTTCCGATGACGTACGTGTATGTACGATGACGTACGCGTACGTACGTCATCAAAACGAAACTGGAAGAAAAACTAAAATAAAATAGCTTAATCGGTAGCGAGGCTCCCGCAAGGTCCATGCGGGAGGGCGTGTGGCACAGTTTGGCGCCAGCTACCGAGGAGTGCGTCGGTCGTGTCGCTACGACTCTCCGCCGTGAGCACGTCTTTAAAAACAACGGCGTTACCACGCCTCTCTAAATAAAACTCAGGCCGAGCCGCTTGCGTGTTCCGAGATTCGGCGGTGAACGGGACACCCACCCCGCAACTTTCAGACCGTCTCGGGACGGGAATAAGCATCTAATAACGAATCGCCAACTTATCACCGCGATTCCAGTAATAATCGTCATTCGGGGACCTCTCCCCCTCCTGAGTTAATGGCAGCGTTATCAGTGACATTTTAGTAACTCGCCAATATGTTAATCTCGTGAAATCCAGAACTCGCACGCAGCGCGGGTTTACTGTACACGCGTGCATACTGTACAACAACAAAAAACATCAACTTTGCAGAGAGCGAGTACAGCATGGCCCTCGAGGAGTAATTGCACGACTGAAATACAAGTCAAATTGAGGAGTCAAATTGAAAAATAAACAGATGAATAATTGCACAAACGTGGGGGGTTGGGGGGTGTGCAATCGTCGTCGCTGTTGCAGGCGTGCGGGCGTCTAGAGGAGCTGGAGGGCCGCTTGATGGAGGTGGATGCATCGTGCGCCCCGGGGGGCGACCTCTCGGCCAGCTGGTGCCAGTCCGTGGGCTTCCAGCCGAGCGACTGCTCGTGAGACGACCGCACACGCACGCGCACACGCACGCGCGCATCAGCACCGGGGCTAGAGCAGTAACGGTGCCCAGGGTTCGGTGGTCGTACGGGTTCGGCCGTGGAGCAGAGGTCGCAAACGGGTTTTGATTCCTTACCCGTACCCGGCCGCACCAGGGTCGCAAAGGGGTACCTGTACCCGTACCCGGCCGTACCCATACTTTACCCGTACCCAGGCGGGTATGGGTAGGGTACGGGTATCGGGTAACTGATTGCGACCTCTGGGATGAAGCCATGTTGCAGGCGTGGGTGGGTTGATTCTAGGAACTTGAATTGTGAGAAGAGACAAGACGTTGGGAAATGAGTGACAAACAGTTACTCACCAGTGACTCACGGTCTACCCGTACCCGTACCCGGCCGCACCAGGGTCGCAATCGGGTATCGGGTACCCGGTTGCGACCTCTGCCGTGGAGTAGAGAACATCTCTGTTGCCGTGTCGAGGTTTTGCCACGCACTGCTGTTCACCGTGGCGCGCGACGATAGGGCGGTAGGAATAATAATATAATAGTTATTTCTAAACTGAACTATTTTTTATTTTACCAGGTAAGACCCACTGAGATATGTAGGTATTTTTCAGAAGCGACCTGGCCACAAATGATAGCTCAACGACGTGGCTTATCACCGCTGCGCTACAAATCTGGCGACCCGAGTTCGATTCCCTCTCACGGCAAACATCAGTGACGGGCCTCCCCTAGATCGACTCGGCCTCAAAAAAGTACCCGATATGATGTGTAAACATCGCCGGTCGGGAGACAAATGCGGCCGGGCCGGCACGGTGCTGGCCACCCCCCACCCCCCCCCCCACCCCCGTCGTATGCCGTGCCGGCCTTCACAGCTTATAACTCGCTAACAGCACTTGCCCCAGCATTCTGTTGAGCCTTAAACGGGGGGGGGGGATCTTTGTCTTTGTGTCAGCGTGGAGCGACTGGCCGTTCTCGCCAAGCTGTCCCTCGACACCCTCGTTCAGTTCGACCGGGACCTGCAGCAACGCAGTGAGTGATTACGCACGGTTTACATTGTTTTTAAAAATAATAATAACAACCAATTATTTATTCATCCTCCCCCCCCCCCCCCCTGGTGTTATCCCAAACTTGCAATCGATCTCACGAGATGGAAGTCTACGTTCGTGGCTGTCGCAAAGAGAGCGCAGCCTATCCGCGTGAGAGTATGTGTTCGCAGCCGAATGACGGACGGACGGACTGACAGACCGATGGATGGACTGACCGACAAACCAAATCGTTAGGACGATGGCGGTGTTTGTGCCATTGGTGTTATTTCGTGAAATCAAGCCCTTGGTATGTTAAGCTCCCGTACGATGTGGCGCAGCGTCGCCCCATGTTAGAGAACAGCCTGTGGATGATGACAGCACAGCACGATCACTGAGGTGCCTTTAATCGAAGGTTAGAAAAATAACCAAAACACACGTGCACCTTCTGCAGTTTTGTAATGAACTTGACGGTAGTGTGTGTGTGTGTAGGTCGACTCAGCCTCAAATTAGTACCTGGTGCCTAAACATCACCACTCGGGAAACAAAGGCGGCCGGGCATGGTACTAGCCACCGACCACCTCCTATGCCATTCCGGCCTTCATAGGTGCTTGCTAACAGCACTTGCTCGTACAGTCTATTAAGAATATATGGGGGATTTTTGTCTTTGGGGAGCGGCAGTGTAGCGGTTAGTGCACTGCTCTACAAACCCGGCGACCTGAGTTCAATTCCCGCTCACGGTCAACACCAGTGAAGATTATCTGAACCGATCCTGGGCCTCCCCTAGGTCGACCCAGTCTCAAATGAGTACCTGGTGCAGTGTGTAAACATCGCCACTTGGGAGACAAAGGCGGTCGGCGTGGTGCTGGCCACCCCACCCCCGTTGCCTGTAGCATTGATGCAACAAAGCCTGACACTGCTGATGAGAAGCTGCATTGTCAAAAACCACTTCAAAGTTTCGTCACTGAAATCACGCACTCCCAGAAGTCCGTGGCGGCCGCTGAGTTGCATAAAAAAAAAATTTACGTGGAGGGACAGACGGACATTGCGTAATTATTCCGCTGAATTTTTATTCTTCCCAACGACGCTAACGGCTAATCTGAAACGTCTTCGTCGTGTCCGTGTGTTGCAGAGATGTCGGCGATGGACGTGCATATGCATAACCTTGAAAAGTGAGTTGTGACTGCTGCTACAACGTATGTTGAACATCTTTCGCACCATATGTAGCCAACTGTGCTAATTCGAGGTACGGCAAAAGGACAACAAACTAAACATGCACACAAGAAAATCGGTCGATTAGTAGCACCAGCACATAAATGAACTAATAACCAGATCCATTAGATGTATTATCGATCGTCTGGAGTCCATAATAGAGGTTTTTGGGTTAGATCGCGTAAATATATAAATGTGTCGTTAAAACCCGCCACTACCCGACACAGCCAACTAGTAAGGGTTGTCACGTAAACAGAATGTGGCCAATTCGTCACTAGTGCAGCACACCGGTGTGTTGGAGAGCCAAGCCACAACATTTACAATCTGAGTACGACGTTTCGCCAGTAATTACAACTAGCTTCATCAGGCAACAGCCATATTTGTCGCATGATGAAGCTAGTTGTAATTACTGGCGAAACGTCATACTCAGATTCTAAATGTTGTGGCTTGGCTCTCCAACACACCGGTGTGCTGTACTAGTGGCGAATTGGCATGTTCTTTTTACGTGTTGGGTGGTGGTGGGTTTTAACGACACATTTATATATTTACGCGATCTAACCCAAAAAAAACTCTATTATGGATGATATTGGTCGCGAAAGCCTGCTACGTGTTAAACTGATTTTCTGGAGAGTTGCATCTTCGTACGAGAGCATAACGGGGTCCTTTAAACCGGGCCGCACGACACCGTGTCGTGTTTTCATCCAGCAGTGGATCGATCATAGTGTCCCAGTGACGACGACACCACCGACGGTGTTACTGACGCACGCACAACACACGCGGCGTTGTCCTCTCGCAGGCAGAAGCTGGAAGCCAACTTGCAGGAAGCGCTGGCTCTGTTTAACGACAAGGTCAACTCGCAGCACAGCGCCTTCGAACAGAAGTCGTTGGCGTGGCAGCGGTAAGGAGAGATGTGTGTGTCAAGGAGATGTGTGTGTCAAGGATAGATGATGTCCATAATATAGGTTTGTTGTGTTAGATCGCGTAAGTAGAAACGTGTCGTTAAACCCGACACAGCCAATTTGTAATGTTTAGCACGTAAACAAGACATGCCGATTCGTTACTAGTACAGCACTAACCTGTGCGTTGGAGAGAAAATCCACAACATTTACAATCTGAGTACGACGTTCCACTAGTAATTATAATTGCAGCCGGCATGATCAGGCAGACAGCCAGATCTGTGGAGAAATCCTCCTGTTTCGTTCCTTAAATAGAGGGGTAGATGCGATGACGTCACTTGTGTGAGCCCTTCACGTGCGAAGGGCTGTAATAATGAATGCATATAAATTACAAGGCATATCCATTGTCGTTTGGGTTATTCATATGGTAATCAACGTACGTGACCAATTTTATTCCTGATTTTAAGTTTGTTGGGCTATATCATGGGACCTTTTTGCTAGTATCAAAGTACGAAAAATAAGAATAGATTTTACCCTTTCTGTCATTGTCTTTGTATTGTTCGCCTTTTGGCATTCTCTGGTCTGACTAGGCCATGAAGAAGGCTGTCTCTGGTGTAGGCCAATCAGTTTCAAAGACAACGCCATATATTCAATATCAGAGCATGTTTGTTTGCATGTTCATCACAAGTACGTGTGGTTAATGCAGTAATTGATTCCTTGAAAAGGTTTCTATTTGGTGTTTGAACATCTTAACACCTGTTTTAAAGCTTTCGTGACTGCAGGGATTAATATTCTTGGTTCTTTCGGTAAAGTCACATAGAAGGGAAATAATAAAATAAAATAATAATACAAATGTGGATTTCACACATGATGATGATTGCTTGTGTTGCAGTCGAAACGTCGTGAGAATTTTTATAGTTTTATATTTTTATTTTATTATTTCCCTTCTACGTGACTTTACCGAAAGAACCAAGAATATCTTAACACCTGTTTTATTGCCAGAAAGAATAAAACCTATTCTTATTTTTCATACTTTCTTGGGTTAGATTGCGTAAATGTAGTTTTGTGGTCTTCACCCGACACAGCCTAATCAGTAAGGTTTCATGAACAAAACTTGCCAATTTGTTGACTGGGCTACTTTGGCACACCCGGTGCGTTGGTGAGTTAGTGGGTGAGTGTTGTTGTGACCTGCTGTGTATTGAGCTAGTTAGTGGGTGAATATGTTGTTGTGACCTGCAGTGTGGTGAGTGGGTGGGTGAGTGAGTGTTGTTGTGGTCTGCAGTGTGGTGAGCGGGTGGGTGAGTGTGTTGTTGTGACCTGTAAATGTGGTGGTTGAGTGAGTGAGCGGGTGAGTGTGTTGTTGCAACCTGCAGTGTGGTGAGTGAGTGGGTGAGTGAGTGGGTGAGTGAGTGTTGTTGTGATCTGTAGTGTGGTGAGCGAGTGGGTGAGTGTGTTGTTGTGACCTGCAAATGTGGTGGTTGAGTGAGTGAGCGTGTGAGTGAGTTGTTGTGACCTGCAGTGTGGTGAGTGAGCGGGTGAGTGAGTGTTGTTGTGATCTGCAGTGTGTTGAGTGGGTGTGTGGTTGTAACCTGCAAATGTGGTGGTTGAGTGAGTGAGCGGATGAGTGAGTGTGTTGTTGCGACCTTCAGTGTGGTGAGCGAGTGGGTGAGAGTGTCTTGTTGTGATTTTCAGTGTGGTGAGTGAGCGGGTGAGTGAGTGTGGGGCGAGACAAAACGGTCAGTCTGGGGAGGCTCCCCACGGCCTGGCGTAGACTGCACGGGGGATCTCTTTGCTCTGTGCCTTGTGTAGCGACGTCAGGAGGCGGGTGGTGTGCAAGTGTTTTGCGTCCTGTGTGTTTTTTGAACGACAGCGAGCTGATGGAACGCAAAGCGGAGGTGCGGGTGATCGGCGCGGACATGGACCAGCTGGGATCTCAACTTAAATCCGCGCAGGAGCAGCTGAGTGCGGTGAGCAGCTGGGGCGGCGTTGCGCCACCGGTGTCACCGTGCATTCTGTTGTATGTATGTGTGTACATTGAACTTCTTTCGCACCATATGCTAGCCAACCATCCGAAATGGAGGAGCTGAGGAAGGACAGCAAACTAAACACAAAAATATTTTGCAGTGATGGTGCGATGATTGCTGCATATTGCGTTACGACTGAGTCACTTTGGGGTGTGGTTTTTAAAGTATCGGCAAAATTCGGACCGCGATGCCGGCACACGACGCCCGCCTCTTCCGAATGATGTCGCGGGATCTTTAACGTGCGCGGTGAAGCGGAGAGGCGCGCAGCATCTGTTTTTGTTACCGCACCTGCGCAGTATTAACCAGGGCGGCCGCTGAAATCGAACCACGAACCCCTTCAACGAGCGGCGAATGCGCCACCCGCTAGTCCACGTCACCATTGACGAGGGCCTCCCCATGGCCACGTCGGTCGTTGGGGTTACCCGACCGTGCTTCGCCACGCCGGTCAATGTGTGCTGGTGAATGCAGGCGGTGTGGACGCAGGAACACCGCCCTCTGCTGCACCCTCCATGTAGCCCTGCGGCAGCAGCAGCAGTAGCCTGTGAAACCTGTGGTGCATTGTGGTTGGAGCGGTAGTGTGGCGGTTAGCGCAATGGGGAGTGGTAGTGTAGTGGTTAGCGCAATGAGGAGTGGTAGGGTAGCGGTTAGTGCTATGGGGAGCGGTAGGGTAGCGGTTAGTGCTATGGGGAGCGGTAGGGTAGCGGTTAGTGCGCTGCGCCACGAACCCGGCGACCCGAGTTCGATTCCCGCTCACGGCCACCAACACCAGTGACGCTTATCTGAACCAGTCCTGGGCCCACCCCTCAGTCGATTCAGCCTCAAATTATTACTCGGTGCGATGTGCAAACATCGCCACTAGGGAGACGAAGGTGGCCGGGTGTAG